CCTCCGAAGGGTCCTGGAAGGCACTCTCATACCCTTCTGAGGCACCCCCCACCTCCACCCCCGCAGGCCCAGGGGGCCGAAATTGCCAGAATATTTTTTCTAGTTTTCCTTCCCTAAAAATGAGGTGTGTCTTATGGAGAGGTGCGTCTTATGGAGTGGAAAATATGGTAGTGGTTGAAAAAATGGGAATTCTCAGATAGACTAGTGATTTTTGAACAATATATTCCACTCACCTTTAACCAATATCAACATTTTTAGTTGAAATAGGGTCTATGTCTGATTTGCAGCTTGACCTTTGGTGGGCTGTGAGAGGAGTATTCCAACCATATACAGTGGTGCATGACGACGATAATCCATCCCATTGAAATCACTGTTTAGTGAAATCATCATCATGCAAAAACCCTTACCCCATTGGAATGCATTGAAACCTGGTTTAATGCATTCCAATGGGGAAAATACCTCGTCACCCAGCGAAGATCGCCCATAGGGAAGCCATTTTGCGAGCGCCAATCAGCTGTAAAAATGGCTGCCCTGCGAAGCATGGCTCCGGAAAACACAGGGCAGCCATTTTGAGAAGCCGACGATCATCAGAAAAAATAGTCGTCTTGCAAACAAATGGTCCGCGAAGCACGGACCTAATCGACATCCAGCGAAAATCCCCCATAAGAATGACTGTTTTGCAAATCGCTATAGCGATCGCAAAAAGTCATTGTTATGCGGATTCGTCGTTTAGCGGGGTCGTCGTCCTGCGAGGTACTACTGTACATCTATGGTTTTTAAAAATGGATTCCTAAATTTTTGGGCCACAGGTGAAACTCTGTTTCAAAAAGGATGAAGAATAAAGACATGTATATTACTACAGAATACTCCTCTCAGAAGTTCTGTATGTGCTTTTCTGCAGTTTCCTTTGAAGGGCCCATGAAAACATTTTTATTTGAGGATTGGTGGAGATTGCTAGTTTAATTTTTTTAATATTAAATTACACTTCTCATTGCTTTGTGTGTGATTTTAATTGTCCAAGTGAACAGTTTTCTGATGAAACATGAGCTAGTAACATCACAAATAAATACTGTTACAGTGGGGTCTTGACTTGAGAACTTAATCCGTATTGGAAGGCGGTTCTCAAGTCAAAATGTTCTCAAGTCAAATCTGCATTTCCCATAGGAATGCATTGAAAACCATTTGATCCGTATCTGCTCTTTTCCGTCCATAGAAACTAATGGGAAGCTGCTATTCTGCCTACGACCACTAGAGGGGGATATTTTGTTTCTATTTTTCTTAGGTCAAGAAAGGTTCAGGGAAGGCAGGGAAAATACAGTCCAGGCAGTACCAGGCAGTCTGAAGACTCCCAATCCACTCTCTAAACGCTGGGAGGCATGAGGAAGCAGACAGGCCCCCTTTTCACTGGCCAACAGTTAACTGAAAGTTCAAACTTTGCACTTTCCCTGCCTCCCACATGGTTTTTTTAGTTCTTAACTCAAATCTAAGTATGCAAGTCAAGTCAATATTTTCCTATGAGAGTGGTTCTTAAGTCAAAATGTTCTTAACTCAAAGCGTTCTTAAGTCAAGACCCCACTGTACATCTATCTATTCACAGCTCACATGAAAACCTGGCATGTCTTAGACAATACAACCAATCGTATCTTGCTTTTTTTTACTCAACCATAAAAAGCTGTAAGTAAATGCAAAACTTCAAAGTACATTTAAAAAACAAATACTTCAATGGATATTGTCCTCACCTTATTAGGTCTGATAATGTAATTGACTCTCTCAGCCAGAGCAATGCCAAATAGCAAAAAGCTAAAGTCATGGGCATGGACATGCTCAGATCCCATTTCTTCCTTCTCTGTAAATTAGAGCCACCATCCACTGATCCAGACCAGCCAGATTTTCCTGCAGAAAGCATTCAGGAAAGTAACATTTAAAGTATCTATTTTAATTGTATTTTAATTGTTTTATCTTTTTATTGTATTTTAATTGTTGTAAGGCACCCAGAAATGTTTGGGTAGAGTGGGTGGCATATAAGTTAAATAAATAAATAAATAAATAATTTTTTATTCATTCCTAATTACTGTGTTTCCCTGAAAATAAGACAGGGTCTTATACAGTATTAATTTTTGCTCCAAAATCACATTAGGGCTTATTTTCAGGGGATGCTTTATTTTTTTCATGTACAATCTACTTTATTCAAATACAGTCATGTCATCTGCTTGTGGTTGATGCACAATGGTGAAGGGCAGGCTTTCACTTAACTAGGGCTTATTTTGGGGGTAGGGCTTATATTATGAGCATCATGAAAAATCATAGTAGGACTTGTTTTCAGGTTAGGTCTTATTTTTAGGTTAGATCTCATTTTCGGGGAAACAGGGTAGGAATAACTTATCAATGGTAGCTAATGTATTTTGTTCCAAATGGCAGCTCAATTGTTCTTATAATACCAAAAGCAGAGGTGAGAAAACCACTACAAAGGCTGAAGTAAGTACAGAAAAGGAGCTGAAATCCTGTGTAAGTGAAAAATTTCAGTGTTTTGGCTTGGAACGGGGGTCTCTTCTTCTAGAATTTACTAATCTTAATCATACCATCACACAAGCTTTCCCTAACTCAGCAGTTAAGTTACACAAAACCTACATGTAGGTATGACTAAAATTAGTACATTACTTTTGGAAAGAGAGACACCTGTTTCAAGCCAAAACACTGAAATATACAGTGGTGCCTCGCACAACGAGTGCCCCGTAGAGCGATGAATTCGCTCTACGAGGACGCTCTTGCGATTGCTAATGCGATCGCACAGCGATGGCCCCAATAGGCGAAAATCGCAGAACGATGGCAGAATTTACTAATCTTAATCATACCATCACACAAGCTTTCCCTAACTCAGCAGTTACGTTACACAAAACCTACATGTAGGTATGACTAAAATTAGCACATTACTTTTGGAAAGAGAGACACCTGTTTCAAGCCAAAACACTGAAATATACTCTTACATGGGGTTTCGGCTCCTTTTCTCTACTGATTAGTCGCTCTCCCCTCGCTTACTAAGGGCGCGAAAACACTGCGCCCGGCCCTTTCAGCTGTTCCTGTGGCCATTTTGAAGCCGCAGAACAGCTGATCGCAGCCATTTTCATGCCCTCATTCAGCGAGGGGAGGGCGCGAAAATGGCTGCCGGACCCCAGAAGCATCGCTGAACGGTGAGTTTTCAGCCAATTTGGAACGCATTAAACAATGTTTAATGCGTTCCAATGGGCTTTTCTGCCCCGCTCAGCGATGTTTCACACAGCGAGGGTTAATCCGGGACGGATTAACCTCGCTGTGCGAGGCACCACTGTACTCTTACACGGGGTTTCGGCTCCTTTTCTCTACTGAATAGCTTACTTCAGCCTTTGTAGTGCAGTTCAGTCCTCATTGCTTCTGGTATTATCAGGACAACTTGTAATACCAAAGAGAGAACAAAACCTTAAAGAAAGCTCCCAAAGCCACAAATTTAACTCAAAGGGTATATGTTAGAGTATTAGCTTTATATAGCTTTATGAAAGACTTCACTTCTTGGGACAGCCAAGACTATAAGGGGACGGATGCAATCTTAAAAGATTAAAATCAATTATTAAGTGCATAGGTAGCTTTAGTAAAAGTACAAGTCAAGCTAGAAGCAGGTTGAAAATAATGTCTTAAAAAACCAAACATAGCATGTATAGTCTAGAATTCAATATGATGTATTATTATTTTAAAAATCACCTGCTATATCTATCTTTTGTGAATGCAAACATTTTGAAAAATATGACAATATAAAAAGCTGAAGCAGAAGAAGAACAAGAAAGCATTATATTCCCTTACCCTCCTTTGTCCTCAACTTTGGAATTATTATACTTATATCCACCCTCCAAGAAGCATACAATGGTAGCACCTTCACTCTCATTTTATCTTCACCATGACCTTATGGTGATCTGAACCTGTTCTCTACATCTTAGTCCAAAGCCCAATCACTAAGACACACTGTCTCTCTAATTTTCAGGTATTCTCTCAAGATGTAGTTAGCAAGTAAGTTATACAAGCCATGTCCAGCATTTCTGTACATCGCTTACAATTAAAATTCTTATTAAACTCACTATAAAGTACAAATCCCCAAAAACATGTTTTTCTTTGCTTGCTTTCCCTCAGAATTTAGCATTAATGAGGATACTTTATTAATATTTCAAATAGACTGTGGGTGTCCAACCTTTCACCTTCCCTGGGCCACATTAGAAGATGAAAATTTCGTTTGGGCCGCATGGCGAGGCAGCCCTAGCCATCCTCCGCAGCCCCGCTCCAAGCGCGCTTACCGGCAGCTGCGATCTCAGACAGCAGAGGCTGCCAGCTTCGACTCCGGCGGCTTTATGGGGCCGGGAAGGGGTCCACGTATTGATGGGGACAGTGCAATGCAGTCACGCAGCCCCCCTCTCCCCTTCCCTCCCGCTCCTTCCTTCCCTCTCTCCCCCCCCAACCGTTGTGATGCAAGCGCCGGCAATGTAACTTGAAACTTTGGAATTTCTTTATAAATAAAAAATTGCACTGGGCCGCATGATGAGGCAACCTGGGCCGCATGCGGCCCGCAGCCCACAGGTTGGACAAGCCTGGTGTAGACACTGTAATATTAGAATTATAACAGGCACAATTTCACCACATTTGGAATCATTTTGTCTTTACTACCTTCTCAATCAATTCAGTAACCTTTATTGGCATAGGAAACTTAAAAAAAACTTATACTGGGAAATTAATAGCAAATAGAGATACACATAATGGTAGTTACACGGCTAAAAAAAAACAACAACAGCAAAAAACACAATAGGAGATACTTTGGAGTAGTCTAGTTAATTTCTCTTCAGATCGTATAAATCTTTCGCCTTTTTTTTACTACCTTTTAAACAAAGCAACCAAGAGCTTCTAAAAGCTTAGAAGGAAACACAAGAACTGTTTTGAATAACTATTGTATATATGTGAGTCACTGAACAAAAAGTATGTACCTCATTTAATCCCTTCACTCATCAGTTTTCTCCTTTTTTATGCATAGGCCATGTCTCAAGAACACGGATGGCAGGAGTGCTATTGTTAACTCCACATTCAGCCTGATTTACAATAATCTTTGTGTTCTATTTGAAGCCATCATGTTAACACAGCAGATTTTCATTTTATTTGTTTTAGATTATGCAGGGCATATTAGACGGTCAGCATTAAACTGAATGTAACATACAATTTAAGACATGCCATAACAACTTACAAATTTAATAGGCTTCCCCAACAATGTCTATATACTGCACCCAAATAGAGAGTTTCAGCCTACTCGCTTGGAGAACAATGTTACAACAGTCAGTTTGAATAAACCCCAATGATCCCATAATATCTAATTATTACAGAAATTGATCTGGAATCTATATTAGGATAGAGGTTGATTTTTGAATAAGTTATTCAAAGCATAAACTAGAAACAAGGGAGATGACAATGTCCAAGAAGCTACTAGGGCTTGCATAATAAAGACAGAACATTTTTACATTTGCATATCAACTAAAATTTGCAATCTTACTCATTAGTTACATGCTGGCACCCTGGACAATTTAACAATGCAAAGTATATTCATGTTTTCTTAAAGTGGATTTTCATTCACTGGTTTCACCAGAAAAAAAATGTGATACATCACACTTCAAACACTACATTGTGCCATAAAATGTAAAGTCTACTTTTCCCATTCCCCAACCTTTGCTTCAGCAATGGTTAAACGACTGGACTACCTCTCTCTCATAAAGTATTTAATCTCTATTGCAGTTGCCCAGTTTCCCACATCTTCCCAGCCACTGAATCCTTTAGCTCAGTGGACCCCAACCTTTTTTGAATCGCGAACTGGTNGAAGGGAGGGGAGGGGCGAGCTTGTGGAGGGATGGGGGCACCTGTGCGTGAATGTGGTGAGCCGTACATGTGGGGAGTGCGTGCGGGGGGTGGAAATCTCTCTCTGCGGCCCGGTCCTGCCATGGCCACGGACCGGCACCAGGCTGCTGACCGGGGGGTTGGGGACCCCTACTTTAGATTATTGCTGATCTCCCCTCTCCAGTCTATTCTGCAGGGCGAGCTTGTGGAGGGATGGGGGCACCTGTGCGTGAATGTGGTGAGCCGTACATGTGGGGAGTGCGTGCGGGGGGTGGAAATCTCTCTCTGCGGCCCGGTCCTGCCATGGCCACGGACCGGCACCAGGCTGCTGACCGGGGGGTTGGGGACCCCTACTTTAGATTATTGCTGATCTCCCCTCTCCAGTCTATTCTGCAACCGTGTGACGTCTCATCCTCAATCTACCCCAGAAAACAGGTCTGCAGCGTCCTTCCATACTGCTGGGAGTATGCAACACTACTAAGTAGCAGCAAAATGACCTTTCTGAATTACTGCTCCCAGAATAAGCTAGTTGAAGTCCAAGAAAGATTTTTTTTTCCATTTCTGATGCTAGCATGATTTCAAATTTATTTCTATTATTATTATGATTAAAGTGAATATTTTCTGGAATATTATATACATTAATTAGCCAGATGTGTTTTTAATCACTTGAGGATTAAGTCATGAAGGACTAAGTGGATTTTTAAAGCATATTAAATACATTCAAAAACCCAACTGTCCAAACTGCATTTACCTGACATCCTGCTAGTGGAAGAAGCACCTGTAACACTAGATTTAGAGGCTGCATCTGTATCACTCGCAGAGGAAGCCAAGGCAAGAAGTCTCCGAATATCTAGTTCACTTTCTGTTTCGGTATCTGTGCTCTGTGTCTGTTACAAAATAAAAGAAAACAATCATATACGGCTCCAACTACAGATATTTAATTCAATTCAGTCGGATTATCTTTTATTAAAGCAAGCATTGTGATGTAATTTTGATTTTCCAAGTGTAAAATATCTAACAGTATGAATATTCAAGAAGTATTAATTTTGAATGAAGACAGAACTGAATTTTAGAAAAAAGCAGTCCAGCAGCAAAAACCCCCTGTCACATGTATCAGCTGTGAATATGACGCATCTCAGCTACTCTCATTCACACAGATTCATAACCAACCAGCAACATGGGCAAGACCTGCCATCTTCACAGTCACAATTTTCTGGGAACGTTAAGCCCATGTACTTTCTAAAGAAATAAACCTCTTAGTCTTTGAAGTGCTACAATATTTTGCCTTTATTTATTTTCTTTTGACAATAAAACCCATGTAAATATTCTCAATAAGTCTCAAAGATAAGCATCTACACATAACCTTATGCTTCAGTCACTGGAGTGGTTTCAGATACTTGCAGCAGGATCATGTGTTCCTTTGAACAGCACATGCATCCCCTCTTCCTTTCTGCTCTCATGGAGACTGCTCTGACTAGCTATCTTGGTCCAAAATGGCTGGGAAATTCTAGGATCTGTAGTCCAAAAAAGTAGTTTTTCTAATCTCTGAAGGAAGTCCAGTACAGTGGGGTCTCTACTTAAGAACTTAATCCGTATTGGAAGGTGGTTCTCAAGTGGAAAAGTTCTTATGTAGAATCTGCATTTCCCATAGGAATGGATTGAAAACCATTTAATCCGTATCTGCTCTTTTCCGTCCATAGAAACTAATGGGAAGCTGCTATTCCACCTTCTACCACTAGAGGGGGATTTTTTTTCTTTTTTTTCCCCTTAGGTCAGGGAACAGTGTTAAAAGCATTTCTGACGAAGCTAATTTTGAAGCAATGGACTGAAAACCAATTAATCCATTCTGGCTGTTTTTTTTTTATGTAGAGGTGCGTTCGTACATTGAAGCATTAGTTCCCATAGGAACTAATGCAAAGCTGGTTAATACGTACTCTACCACTAGGGGGAGAACTTTTTTTAAACCTAAGATGACCTAAGGTTAAAAAAAGAGCAGGAAAGTTTTTTTTTTCCTGTTCTTATCTGGATTTTTGTTCTCAAGTAGAAGCAAAATTTAGCAAATGGAGCTGTTCTTAAGTGGAATTGTTCTTAAGTAGGGACGTTTTAAGTAGAGACCCCACTGTAATGGGACAGATGAGATTTTACATTCTGTGTGGGCAATGTGTATACACAATTCTGAGAGTCCATTCTATTGGGGCAGAAAATACAGTTTCAACTCAGTCATTTAGCATAACATACTTGATACAGTGGTGCCTTGCTTGACGAGGATAATCCGTTCCAGCGAAATCGCTGTACAGCAAAATCCTCGTCAAGCAAAATAAAAAAGCCCATTGAAACGCATTGAAAACCACTCTATGTGTTCCAATGGGCTAAATACCTCAGCGTCCAGTGAAGATCCTCCATAGGGCGGCCATTTTCCGATGCCTGTGCAGCGAAAAATCCGTCCTAAAGCACAGCAGGGAGCCATTTTACACAGCGGCAGGCCATTTTGAAACCTGATAATCAGCTGTTTTGATCATCGTAATGTGAAGAATCGGTTCCTGAAGCAGGGAACCAATTGTTGGGAAGTGAATTTTACCCATTAAAACATTGTTTTGCAGTCGCAAAAGGGATCACAAAAGCCTCATCGTCAAGCGGATTCATTGTTTAACGAGGTAATAGTTAAGCGAGGCACCACTGTATTTCCATCTTCTTTCAGTGCGTGTTTTCTTTAAAAAACCTAATATACTTAGCTCCATCTACTGGATTTAAATAAAAAAAAACTAATAAGCTACTTACTACAAAAAAACAAAAAAACAGCACAGTAATTATAATCAACATAAAAGTATGAAATCATTCCTTTTAATCAGTAAATACCTCTCGCTAATACTGATAGACCTGCTTTCCACCAGAAAGCTTAGGTGTCCATTTTGTATGCTTTAACAGCAGAGTTCAGTGGCTTGTTCAATACACACACTTTTATTAGAGCATAAGCTTTCATGGGCTTGGGTCCTTTTCAAGGAGAAAGGTGGGGTAAATATATTTTAAATAAATAAATAAAATAGGTAAGAGTTAACATCATCAGCTGCACCAGATGAAAAGAACTCTATTCCATGTAAAGTTATGCCACCATAAAATTAAAAAAGAGCCTTAGACAAACCCAAAAGAGAGCATCACAGGCGTACCACTGGTAGACACCCACACCTCCCAAATGAATTTGGTGTTGTTCTGAGGCGTCGTTAATTTTTGGTGATTTTTTGTTTTCTCCATTGAAAGCCATTGGACTGACGGAAAGGGCTCTTTGATCTCCATTTCCCTGCTTTTGAAGCTCTTTCCGATGTCCCTTTTTGCTCCTGTAAAAGTGCCTTAAACTGTTTGAAACCTGTTTTAAATGCTTGGCATCGATAGTCCAGCTTGTGAAACGTATGCAAACTTAATTTGGTGTTGTTCTGAGGCGTCCTTAATTTTTGGTGATTTTTTGTTTTTTCTCTCATTGAAATGCATTGGACGGACAGTTCAATAGAGTTCAATGAGAGAAAAAACAAAAAATCACCAAAAATTAAGGACGCCTCAGAACAACACCAAATTAAGTTTGCATACGTTTCACAAGCTGGACTATCGATGCCAAGCATTTAAAACAGGTTTCAAACAGTTTAAGGCACTTTTACAGGAGAGAAAAGGGACATCGGAAAGAGCTTCATAAGCAGGGAAATGGAGATCAAAGAGCCCTTTCCGTCAGTCCAATGGCTTTCAATGGAGAAAACAAAAAATCACCAAAAATTAAGGACACCTCAGAACAACACCAAATTAAGTTTGCATACGTTTCACAAGCTGGACTATCGATGCCAAGCATTTAAAACAGGTTTCAAACAGTTTAAGGCACTTTTACAGGAGCGAAAAGGGACTTCGCAAACCCATTCAAATGCATTGTCGGCTTCAATGCATTTCAATTGGGGAACCGCGTTTCCCTCAACGATGTTTCCTATGGGGATTCTCCCTTAAGGACAGCAATCTGTTCCAATTGGAACAGATTAACCGGTTTTCAATGCATTCCTATGGGAAATGGTGTTTCACAGAACGATGTTTCACAGAACGGTTTTTTTTTTGGGGAACCAATTAACATCGTTGTGCGAGGCACCACTGTACTCACATCAAAGATCTATAGCCTAATCTGAACAACAATACTTCTGTCTCCAAGGCTCTGGGTGGATGGTCTATACTTGCTTACAGATAAGACTCCTAATCTTAAAGAATTGCTGGCACACAGTGGCAGTTCACATGGATATGAAGGCAAGAAAAAGACTCTGCTACACACCTAGATGCCAACTGTGTGCCCACATCAACTCTGTCAGCACCACTACAGGGCCTAGCAACGGCATCCACGACACCGGGAGCTTATTTACTTGTTCATCTGCTAATGTCATTGACGCTATTTCCCCCACAACATTCTACACCCCACCTACCCCCATTCTACATAGGTCAAATGCAACAATCTCTACAGAAGAGAACAAATGGACACAAATTTAATATCAGAAAGGGCAGCACACAACCGCCGGTTTCAACCTCCCATGATACTTTGTCATAAATCTTAAAGTAACTGTTGTGGGGAACAAATTACAAAAGGATATTAGAAAGGGAGACATCTGAGGTAGGTTTCATTCATGAGTTCCAGAGTGTGGCTAAAAGCTTAATTACAGAGAAGGGAGTTATATAACTTGTGCTATATAACAACAATCAATTTTTTACAGCCTTGTATATAGGCATAGCTATTGATTCTGGCTGCAGAAGCAGCTGATTCAGAAAAATACAAGCCACTTCCCGGCTCACCACCTTTGCGCGTGGGAAATAATCTATGCCAGCCAATCAACTGCTCTAGCTATGCCAGAATGCTTATGTCCTCTCAAGGTTCATAATAATAATGTTTTGTCACTGTGAAATTTCATTGTTCATGACTACCCATACCTTCACTGGGTCTCTACCTCCATAATGTATACTCGTGTACAAAAACTTTGACTAGGCAATTCACTCCATGTGACTGAAGCTCGCACAGAATACATTTGTTAATCTTTCAAGCGTCACAATATTTTGCTTTTATTTGTGTTTTTGTTATACAAGTTAAGATGGACTATCATGGCTATTAACACAAAATATGTTAATCTTTGGGGGCTGTAAGACACTGTTGTTTTTGGCTGTAGGAGAACAATACAGCTACTGACTGCTCTGGAAACAATTCCTTTTTAACAGTTGTTCCTCTGTGTATGTATCAAAAAAGCAGAAAAAGGACTAGAACAACAATATATTTAGCAGCAGAGGATCCTACCTTAATCAAGTCTCCATTAAGAATTTTGAGCATTGCCATAATATAAGTTGTTTTCAACAAATTAGATGTACAAGTCTATATGAAGTTCCTAAGATCATGTGTGTGTAGAAAAGCTGGCTATTCACCAGTTCTGAACTTTATACTGTACTTACTGGTAAAGTATCCTGAATAACATGTCTGTGAGGCTTGTCACAATAAGCCTGGTTGCTCTTCTGAAGGTATCTTCTCCATAAGTTACACAACACTTCATCCTGATAAGGAGAACATATTACTTATCCAGATACAGGCTTATATGTATGTTTTTGTTACACACAATTGCAGAAATGAACATATGGACCAAAATCCTGTCGTGTAGGAAGAAAGGCAATGGTGTATACTACTATTACAGTAGTATATTGGCTATAGTTAAGATTAACTACAATTGATTTGTGTTTAGATATCAGAATAAGCTGCAACTTGGTCTAGGAAGTGAAAGCTGCAGGATTCCTCAATGGAGATACATCAGGAGGGGTGTGAGCAAATCAGAGGCTTGCAGTTGCTTTATCTTGCTAATCCATAATTCAGTGTTCAGCATTACATGTAAATGAAGCCACTGTACCGAACAGGTCACTGTACCTTGAACTGTGAAGGAACTCCTAAAGATTGCAGAGCTTCAGCTTGTTTCCAAAGAATGAACTGAAAGCCTTCACAGATGTACCATTCCCAGCCTTTATCTAAAATGGTGCACATACAGAAAACAGAACATTAATAGCCAACATTACAAGAGTTAGCTATAAACCACTGTATTAAACTTATAGGAAGCAAAACTGCACTCTTGGAGGTGGCATTACAGGATTACATTGAGTCCTTCTGGACAGTGATTTAAATTATAATTTAAACCATGATCTGAATCAATTTGATTCGGCCTAAGCACAAATGAACGCAGGATACAAATATCAGTGCTCTCAGAATAATCCTTTCAATGTGTGTTCTGAAATATCACCCATAAGATAGGGCATGCACTTCCGAGTAGAAAAGAAAACACAGAGGCTGATCATTTGATTCACTACCCTGTTTCCCCAAAAATAAGACCTAACCTGAAAATAAGTTCTAGTATGATTTTTCAGGATGCTTGTAATATAATCCCTACCCCAAAAATAAGCCCTAGTTAAGTGAAACCCCGCCCTCCACCCTTGTGCAGCAACCAGAAGAAAATGACAGGACTGTATCTGAATAAATGTAGATTGTTGTACATGAAAAAAAATCCCCTGAAAATAAGCCCTAATGTATTTTTTGGAGCAAAAATTAATATAAGACCCTGTCTTATTTTCGGGGAAACACGGTAGATGGTTTAATACCATTTTAGGTCAATGCAGTCTTAGTTCAATCCACTTATAATACTGCTGGAAGAGTCAATGACAGAGAACTATCAATTTCTCTGAGTACAGTATTAAATGCTAGAAGGTCAAAACAGATGACAGGTATTAGAACATTCCTATTCTGCTCCTTTTGAGAAGCAAGGCAGGTAAGTCTCTGCAGATCCAGTTTGCTCATCTGATTCCTCTATAGTTAATTTGTATTTTAATATATTTTATTGTGCTCCTAGATTTATAAAGACAATATTCCAATTACTGTATTTGAAAGGTATTCTCATAATGACAGTCACCCCGATTTACAGAGCAGCATTATAATCCTTAATTATGAACAATGTCCCCTCTAAGGTGCTTGTGCGCACAGGCACACAGAGCTTCATGGGTGCTCTGCAGCAGCAGCAGCAGGAGGTGTCAATGCCTGTTCACTTCCGCGTTTTAGATTAAGCCCTGCCCTCCACGTGCAGATGGGTGAGGTTCCCACGCAGTGGGGATGACAATTAGAGGGAACGTTCATTATGAAAGTTAATTAATTGTTGATTGCACAATAATGATTACTGAGAAGCAGAATACAGCTGAAGACCCACCAATTCAGGTAGGTTTTTAATTTTAACTATGTAATTTTCAAATTTTAAATGTGGTTTTTAGCTTTTCAGCTTGTATTTGTTTTTCAAGCTTATGCTTTTAATTACTTGAAATATTTTAATTATAGTAACAGTTTAATTTGTTTTTTAATATGTTAGTTATAGTGTTTTTAATTTTACTTGTTTTAACTCTTGTTAAAGCCTTGAGTCTTCTTGTGGGGGAAAAAGGTGGCTCATAAATTAATAAAATAAATAATAAATAGACTTTTTTTTACACAGATGTCTTCATTTTCGGAATCCTTAACATTTTTTTTTATCATTCTGCTCTCAAGTGTCTCTTTCAAGTCATTAGGGCTAAATGAGAAATCCTTTAATTTTTTAAAAAATTAAAGTTCAAATTCTCAAAACATTATTATCTATGCTTTGAGAACTGCCATTGTTATCCTCCCCTTGAATTCCCCAAATTCTCCTTGAATTTCTCACATAGAACTCTGGGATTCCAGTCCCCAGTTTCATATCTACAAACACCTATATTTTGATCACCTGGATCAATGCCTAATTTTTAGAGGCTGGATCACACTGAGGCCTTATTTCCTGTTGCAATGCTTCCCGGAAGGGAGCTGCTGCAATGCTTTCTGGGAGTCGTAGTCCCACTGACTAAGGTGCATCTAGCCTCCAAGGATTAGACATGTGAACAAAATGAAGGGTTTTGTAGGCATGGATCCATGTGCTGGAACTCCCAGAATTCTGTCTGAAGAATTTAAGGAGAATTCTGGCATTTTTTTAATCAAAATAAACCTGAATGGTTTACTATTTCTGTGTCCAAAAGAGTATATAGCTTGCCTTTGTAAAAAAAGAAACAACATTACTGAATGCTTTATACAAGGCGACCTTGTAAAGCTGTTCTGCTCTAGGTACATATGGTAGGAAAGATGAAGTCAGCCATATTTGTTTACCACACCTGGTTTTAAAAAAACCTACCAAATTTGTTCTTTCTTTTTAAGCCTCTAGCAATGGACTGTGCTCTGGCATTTGATGTAGCATCACCAGTTATAACTTCTCGGGTTCTCTGCAAGGCAGTTAGGCAAATATACGAGGTTACCAAATACAAATATGTTAGACCCTTTCCGGTTTCTTTATAAGAGAGGTTGACAGCTTTGATTCATCCATTGAATGTTATGGTTAGTAATCCAAATTAATGGCTATTATTTATAACAGCCCACTACTGCTTACATTCAGAAACACAGATGAATTAAATTCCTGCTTTTTAAAAAAACAAGGGTGCACAGAACAAGTGACTTGGTTTTTTAAAAATAGAATCACATTCCTAGAAGGCTTCTGGAAATACAATGTATGTCATTTAAAAGATAACATATTCAGATTTTGAAGCAAAAATATGAGATATTTTGCTGCAAAAACAGGTATAAACTGAGTAACAGACATCTTTTCAAGGAAGCAGGTTTCAATGTATAGAGTGTAGAAGCATGCAAACTCACATGTGGATGAGCCTTCCAAATAAAATCAGTTCTTCAGCAACTTGATTTAAATTTTGTATAGTAATTAATACACATCTGCATGCTGAACCACTAGTTGTGCTACACAACTCTTTGGAGCTGGGAGATCTACAACATTTATGAAATATCTTGTACCACATTACTGTATTTAATTGTAAAAAATTAGAATCTAGGACATTTGATCCTTTTCAGTATTTGTATACAGTACTGCCTCGCTAGACGATGATAATCCGTTCCACTGAAATCGCTGTTTAGCTAAATCACTGTCTAGCGAAAAGCATTTCCCCATTGGAATGCATTGAAACCTGTTTAATGCGTTCCAATGGGGAAGAATCGTCGTTGTCTAGCGAAGATTGGCCATAAGAAAGCCGCTTTGTGAACCACCGATCAGCTGTTTAAATTGCTGTCTTGCGAAGCTTAGGTCCCAAAAACACCTGTTCTGCGAGCGCGGAGGAAGCTGTCAAAATCGTTGTCTAGCGAAAATCGGTTTGTGAAGCAGGGACCAAACATTGTCCAGTGAAATTCCCCCATAGGAATCACTGCTTCGCTAATCGCTATAGCAATCGCAAAAAGTGAATGTCTAGCGAAAAAACTGTCATGCAGGGTAACTGTCTAGCGAGGCACCACTGTACTCACTGTGTGAGCTTTAATATTGTCTTTTCATGTCAACCCCTTGAGTCCTTTTAAGGAGAAAAGCAAGGGTAAGAATATTTTAAATAAGTAAAATAAATAAATATTACTTACTTCTATCACAGTGTGGCAAGATCTGCAATAGAATCTACCTTCCTCTGTAATACCCCAGTCAACAACGGAACACTCTGCACAAGGTTCATTGTAGCCTCTCTAAAAATAAAAACAAAAGCACACATTGAATAGACAGTTCAAAGATTATAATATACTGTACTTTCAGGGAGTCTATACATCAGAGATACACAATTGCCAAAATCCTCTTTCATATTTATAGTCACACAAGAGGAATTACAGAAGCTGTTGTAACTAACTGTGGCTAACTGACAAGATGCCAGGAGCGTGATCAGGCATCTCCTCAATCACCCAGGGTAATTACCATGATTACTCTTCATGAGCACAAATATCAAACAGGATTCTGTCCAATGCTCTGCACAGCACAGGGCTGCTAAATAGTGATTATAAAGTATCATGGGACTAGAGTTTCAGGAAAATAATTATCAATATGCTGCACTGAACTCATCTAGCCAAAATGGATTCACTGTATAATATCATGAAGTTTTTTTAAAAAAAAATCACATGTGTTCAACTGTAAGTTCTAGCATGTTCAGAAAGATCTACTCACAAGGATGTGTGCACAGGATTGCTGCTAACTACTCAACCTGTAATACTATACAAACATATCATAATATTAGAGTAGGCATCCTTCAGTCTCGAGAGACTATGGTAACATGCTCTGAATAGAGAGGTCTTCGAACACCATCTAGTGTGGCTGAAAAGCCCAATTTAAGAGTCACAATTCCTTCCACACTGAAGTCAAATACAATCTGTCCCTTGTCTGGCTCTCTGATTTTGTGGTTTCATGACTGCCTCTTTGCCTCAGCCTGCTAAACAAGTATCTCTTCAAAATCGGAGAGGAAATGATGCACCACTTGCCTCCAGGCTGAACACTCAGATGTCAAGGTTTCCCATCTGTTGAGGTCCATTTCCAAGGCCTGCAGATATCCTTGTATCGCAGCTGTGGTCTCCCTCTGGGGCGATTTCCCTGCACTAATTCTCCATACAGGAGATATTTTGTAATCCGACCATCAGCCATTCTCACAACATGCCCGAGCCAACATAGACATCGCTGTTTCAGTAACGTATGCATGCTAAAAATTCCAGCTCGTTCTAGGACTACTCTATTTGGAACTTTGTCCTGCCAGGTGATACCAAAAATTCATCTGAGGCAACGCATATGGAACGTGTTCAGCTTGCTCTCCTGCCGTGCATGAAGGGTCCAGGACTCGCTGCAGTACAGGAGTGTGCTCAGAACACAGGCTCTATAGACCTGGATCTTGATATATGTCGTCAGCTTCTTATTGAGCCATACTCTCTTTGTGAGTCTTGAGAACATGGTAGCTGCTTTCCCAGTGCGTTTATCCAGCTCGATATCTAGGGAGAGAGTGTCAGAGATCATTGAGTCAAGATACACAAAGTCAGGGAAAACCTCCAATTCTTGCATAGAGATGGTAATAGAGGGAGGTGAGTCCACGCCCTGGCCCATGACTTGTGTTTTCTTCAGGGTGATAGTTAGTCCAAAGTCTTGGCAGGCCTTGCTAAAACGATTCATGAGTTGTTGGAGGTCTTCAGCAGAGTGGGCAACAATGGCTGCATCATCGGTGAAGTGGAAGTCCTGCATGCATTTCGGCTGGACTTTGGTCTTTGCTCTCAACCTAGAGAGATTAAAGAGCTTTCCCTCTGATCTAGTCTGGAGATAGACACCTTCTGTTCAGTTCCAAAAGCATGCTTCAGCATGACAGCAAAAAAGATCGCAAACAGGGTTGGCGCGAGGACACAGGATTGTTTCACTCCGCTTCAGATGTCAAAGGGATCTGATGTTGAGCCATCAAAAACTACAGTGTCCTTCATTTCCTCATGAAAGGACCTGATGATGTTAAGGACTGGAGGTGGACATCCAATCTTGGGAAGTACTTTAAAAAGGCCGTCCCTGATAACCAAATCAAAGGCCTTTGTAAGATCTATGAAAACCATAAAGAGTGGCTGTCGTTGTTCCTGCAAATATCTGAGAGAAAATATCATGTCAGCGGTGGACCTATTAGCTCAAAATCCATACTGTGATTCTGGATAGACACTGTCTGCAAGCACTTGGAGTTTCTTCAGCACAACACGGGCAAGCAGCTTCCCTACAGCATTGAAAAGAGAGATGCCATGGTAGTTATTGCAGCCGCCCGTCTCATTTGTTCTTATACAATGTGACAATGCTTGCATCCTTCATGTCCTGTGGTACACCACCTTCCTTCCAGCAAAGACAAAATATTTCATACAGCTCGGTGGTGATGATCTCTTTACAGCACTTCAGCAGGGATGTTATCCTTCCCAGGTGCCTTGCTGGTGGTGAGGGAATCCAAGGCTGCTTTTATTTCTGCTAAAGTTGGTTTGCTGTCCCACTCTTCCAACACAGGCAGGCACTTGATGTTATTTAAAGCCTCTTCGGTTACTACATTCTCTCTAGAATATAGCTCAGAGTCGTGGTGCACCCAGCACTCCATTTGCTGTGCTTGGTCCTGGATTACCACGCCTGCAGCAGTCTTCAGAATATACAGAACAGGGAGACCTACTGGATTCCTGAGTAGGATTTTTTAAATGGAATGTTATGCTTTACTATTGTGAATGTGTTTTTTAGTATTGCTTTTGTTTACCATTTCTCAGAGTGGCACTTGTTTGCTCCTTTTTAATATTTATATACATATTGTTTTTAGCTTTAAATACTGCCTTTTAATGACAGAAGTTACCTTTGTATATTCACTGTTCCTAGCTTTAAACATTGTGTTTTAATCATGTAAGCCACCTTGGGTCCTTTTGAAGTTGAAAGATGGGGTAAAAATATTTTAAATACACAAATAACACACAATGCCACGTTTAAGAGTGTATTGTTAACACCTGGTTCATTTAGTCTCAACACCTAAACAGGATCTGAATGAATGCCTAACTAGTTCCACTTACAAATGTTTCAAGGTCTATGTGAGGGTTCGACTTTTGGCTCCTCTTTCGGTCCAAAGAAATTTGTTGCTTCAAAACAGGTGAAAGATTTATTGGTGCATTTAACAATAAACAAGTGTCTGTCTCCTTCTGCCAACGGGTCCAGAAAGGGTCTCCAATCTTCAAATAGGAACGGGTTACCATAACTATTGTTCCATGGTCCCTGTAAATCAGCAGGGACCCAGTCTCTTATGGTCTGCGCCACTGAACTTTCCAGCAAGGGCACAGTCTCATCATCCCGATCACCATTCCACAGGGTTTGTCTCTCGGGGTCTTGATCCTCCCAGGGTCCTCCCTGAAGTACTTCTTCCTCATCTCTCTTATTCTCCATTCTAGCCTTTCTCTCTCTCTCTCTCCTTTCTCTCTCCACTCTTTCCTTCTCTTCTCTCAACCTCCTCCTCCACTCTCTTGCCTCGGTTTCTCCCCAATAAGAGGGTCGGGGGGGGGGGAAATCTCCCTTCTTCTTCCGTAATCTGCCTCCTCTTTAGGCACACTCAGCCTCTTCCAGCATCCTTGTCCAGGAAAGCCCTCCATCCACACCCATTCCCAGCCTGCTAGCAACTGACTCTCCTTCCTTTTTACCTCCCCTGTTCCTGCCTCAGACTCCACCCTCTCCTTCCTCTCTTTTCCCGCCTTTTCCTCCTGGACCTCTCTCAGGGTCACACCCAGCAAGTTCTCAGTCAACTCCCCTCTTTCTGTCCCTTGCTGAGCTTCTGCCACAGGTTCTGGTGCTGGCCTGGCTCCTTATTCTTGTTGCTGGGGAGGGACGGCTCTCCAGCGAGTGGGGCATCCCTCTCGCCTTCTGTCTCACAATCTACCCTTCTTTTTAACGACAAAATCCTGTACACCATCATCATCACACCAGGGCACCCAAGGGCAAGAGTCAGCTCTCCCTTCTGCCCACCCTCATCTCTCGGAGCCCATCCCTCCCTCACCGTCCAGTTTTTCACGCCTGCGTTGCATATGAACACCCAACAGGGAAAGCTTTCCCCAGGACGGGCAAGAAAGCATCTCCCGTTGAATGAATGGCTGCCGACGACAGGCCGTTCCAGGGGGGAGCGGTAAGGCAAGAGACCCTCTCGTCCCCGCTTCCACCACCATTCCCTAAAAGCGGGCTCCCTCGTGTCCCAGCTTCATAGCTCCAACATCTGCCGGGGCCTTTCCTCACACCCGGACTCAAAGCGCCCCACCCACCCACA